TGTAGATGTAGAAATTTAGCAAACAGGTTTTCATCTGGGATTCAATAAGGAAAAAAACAGGAAAGTCCCTTGATTTCCTGCATTCCTGCTACTGATTTACAATAGAATGTGATGTGTGTCATAAATAAGTTGGTGTATCTTGGTGTTTGAGATTTAGGAATTCTTGTTTCATTGAAAACAGATTTTGAAAAATGATTTCTGTAAGATAAATTGCATTTTCTCTGTTTCTAAAACTCATCTCACAATTTTTGAATGATCATTTTTTAAAAGTTAATGGAATACAATATATAATAATCTTGGTATTATGATAATGATGTATTGTCATGTAATGGGTAGAGAGTGGAAAAATGTTTCGTCTTTTAATGAAAGGTATTGGTCATCCCATGTGAACTCGGACCCACAGCACAGCAGGTGAAGGGAAGATGCCTTTGACTAGGCAAGGGATCTTTGATATAGTGGAAGATGGAACTGCTACGTTTTGTGCATGTGTGATGTGGTGGGGTCCGTTCAAGGACGGCGGCATTCTCTTTGCTTCAGCCAGCTGTCTTGGCTGGTTCAAAGTTTGGAACTTATCATGTCCATTTCCATATGTTTTATATGTAAAGCACTATGGTGTTTATTTGATAAATACATATATTTCTGCAAAAGCTCGTTATATATTTTTATCAAGATTTTTTTTAATCAAGGTTACAAATGATTATCTACTATTTTTTATTAATCTAAGTAAGTATAAAGTAATATTTATTCAAAGGTAATTTTTAACTATTTTATATTAATCACTCGTACACCTTATATTATCAATGCTCGAACCTGAGACCTCAAGAAATATCAACCATTTCTTTACCACCGAAGTCACATGTTCGTGCGATTATCTAATGCACTGTATAACACTTTGATTATCTACTATTTAAATGCACTATATTGTATATCTAATGGTTATTAATAAATATAACACTTAGATTGTTAAAATATTAATTATTATGATTAATATTTTAATAATATATTACTTAAATTATCAATATTATTTTACTTATTATATATATAAATTATTGAATTAATTTAATAACTTTATCATGTTGATTTAAAATAATAATTTTATTACCAACAACCGGTTGGTCTAGTAGAATTAGGCACTAGATTCATTAAGCAATGTCAAGGGTTCGAACCCTGACGTTTGTGAATGAAGCAAACTGGGTTGAGAGGGTCGCTCTCATTTTTGTAGTATCAGATCTGGATTAGTCAGTCAATAGATCAGATATCAGTGATTAATTCAAAAAATATATAATTTTATTAATATATACATATTCAACGGTTTAAAGTTCTTATACAAAATAAATAATTATATACTTATAATGTACCTAAAATTTAATATACATAATAGAATTAGTATAATATTAGATTTAATAATTAAATAATTAAAATACTAATCTTAAAAAATTACTTAGATTTTAAATTATTATAAGTAAATCTTTCAATATGTATTGTATTTATATTGTTGTTTTGTTATATAATTTAAAATGATCGAATCTAAAATCATATTTTTAATAGTTCGTGTGATTATAAGTTAATATTTATTTATAATATTTTTTTAATTATTATAACGTATACCCTACAAAAGTAGCAATTCGAATCCATAATTAAAAAAATAATATTATTTTTAACCACCGAGATTACTCAATGAGTCCAATTACTTTTTAATACTGAGATATATTTGTACATAATTAATTTTATAGTTATCCTGCAGGTGAGGTTTTTATCTACAAAATTCATCTCCCATTGAGATATTTTGGTCCTTTCCTTCTTTACAAAGAAAATACATAATCAGATCACATGGGTTGTTGACTTTCAGTTTTTAACTTATGGTAAAGTATACATTTAGTACCTAAACTATTACTTTTATTGCATTTTGATATTTAAACTTATTTTTTTTCAGAATCATACCTAACATTTAGTTTAAGTTTTATTTCAATATTATACTGTTAAAAACTCAACGGAACTGCTATACGTGACACTTTTTAATGGGGTAAAATATACTTTTTAACGTCCAACTCAGACGACTGTTAATTTTTTGATAAAAATGATGAGTTTTAAATATATAAATAGTCGAATCTCAAGAATATATTTTGTTATAAATAAATCTGAGGAGGTAAAAAGAATATTTTTCAAACTATACAGGGAGTAAGTTTATTTTATACCAAACCTCAAGAAAGAAATTGTCTTACCAAAAAAAAAGGTTTGCAGGCAAGCAACCAATAATATGTTTATTTATGGTTAATATATTAAATAAGTACTTTAATTTGATCTGTATATATATATATATATTTTAATTCTAGTTTTCTCACTTTAAACCTGTTTTATTGTCTAAAACTAGCATTGATAACAAATATGAATTTTTATTGTTTTATTTTGGTTAATAAGTATTTCCCTTTTTATGAAAATTGTTTTATCTGTTATTGAAGTTTTTGTCTTGTTTTTGTAAGTTTATTTTTTTTTCATGATTGAATTTTTCGTCGCCTCTTTGGTTGACACTTATATGCTTATCTTATCGATCTATACTATTTTAAATTTTTAGAAAAATTCTCTCAAATTTATAGGTACTTGTAATCACTCCATATATGTTACGCTTGAGTACAGATAAAACTAATTGTTAATATATTTTGATGTTATATTATTATGTTAGTGTTGATGATACTTCCCCATAAACGTCTATTCGAACCAAACAGAGTGTTTACTTAAATAGATGATGACAAAGTGGAGGACGGAGGGGGCACTTGCAAGCAAAACAGATGATATCCGTGAACATGTAATATGGGGTTGCTTGAGAAATCAGAAACCTCTAAAAAGGTAATAGTATTTAGCCTGAAATCAATACATGTGTTTCAGGTTTCTTGGTATCTCATGATTTCTCTCTCTACAATCGAGACTTCCGTGCTCTACTCCTCTTTCATTTCTGATTTCTTTTAAGTTTACTTTTTGGTTTAATTAAATACATCCATTTTTTTATTAATAATAATCGTTAATTTTATTAAATAAAGAAAAAGTATTTTAAATTTTAGAATTATAATAAAAAATAAATTAATCACACAAATCGACTATTTCTTCTAAAATCATTAAAGTATGCAACTACTTGAAATATATAAAAATAAATCATATAATAGCTCTAAATTGTATTAAAACCCCAAATAAATTACTATAGCTCAATAAACAATTTCAAAATAAGACTTGAAGTCCAATGACTTTAATCCCAAAACTTGCAACCTTTAAGTTGAAATCCCAAATAAAATGTACATGATCAGTATTCTGCGTTAAGGACCCAAAGCTCAAAACTTGAAAATGTATGACCCAAACCCAATCTTTATTTTACATCAACGGCCTGAACGTAATAAAGAGAAAAAATAAAATTGGAGGAGGAATGATATGATACTTGTTTTTTAACAGACGAAATTTTCTGAATTTGGAATTGTCGGATGTTCATTGTGATCTTGTAAGTGTGACTGCAACAGATTTTTATCTTTGACTGCAAAAATTAAATCTTGTCTATATAAAAAATGTATCCAACTTTTGATCACGTAATCTTAGACATGACCTATATAATTCACGTGTGTGTATATATTTTGTCGTATGCCGTGTTTGAAAGAAGATTAAGACTCTATTTGAAGGAGATGGATGATGAGAATTTATCGACATGAACATGATATGAGCGACGTGCTTGAAATTAGCTATACCCAAATTCGGTAAACATGCCCATCAACCCATGATTCAAGAAGAAACTTGCCAACCAACAGACCCTCAAAGGCTGTTGTATCTTCCAAGAGCAATTACTGTATCTTTGCATCTATATACTTTATCTATCCGAAAGTTAAGCAAACACGTTTAGTAGATTTGTCAAACTATTCATATTTGTTCACTCGTAGTCCTTTAGATCATTAATTCTCAACCTACTAGGAGCATCTCCCTTCCCTTTCTCTCTGAGTAGGATTAATATTAGATTTAAGATTTGTAAAAAAAACACATCCACAAGTTAGATTATCGAGATCCATTAATTTATGAGTAATCAATGATATTCATATTAACCCCATATAAGTTTGACATTTATCTTCGAAATATAATACATCATTACTTTAAAAAAAATTATTATCTATCCAAACCCAAAAAAACTCACCAGATGTTTAGGAAGATTTATTAGATTAAAATAAATAAATGCCCTTTAAATTATAAGCAAAACTTCATTACACTCAAGCCCAACCAAACTCATTTTTTTATGACATAGTATTTTATAATTTATATTATATGAACACTAAAAATAAATATTTGATAATATGTTAAATTGATTATTTATAAATATACATGTCTCTTAATATTAAATAAAAATAACATTTAAATTCAATTAATTGACTGAATGTTCTTGTTGTAACACTTTGTATGGATTCAAATAAAAAAATTAAAACTTATGTATGAACAAATCCAAACAAACTTTGTCATGTTTTTTAAAAGTATTTTTGAAAACAAAAAACTCTAAAAAGTAATGAAAAACAAATTAAAAGTAATTTCCAAATTGAATTGAAAATTATTTTTCAAAAGTCAAATTATAATCTTGATTTTTTAAAGAACACTTTTGAACAAAATTATCTATTTATGTTTATTCATGTCACTACTTATTACTAATATTTTCAAAAATAATGTCTAACGTAGACATTTTATCCCTTTAAAAACACTTTTGACAATAATACTAAACATTTAAGTTTTAGATCAATCTAAAGTAATGTCAAACTGAGCTTACCTTAGATTAAGGATGTATAAAAAACAGTAAGTATAGTCAAAATATGACTACCCCACCCACAAACATTCTGTCCATGAGCTTACCTTCATGATCATGAAAAATGAGGGTTAAGATCCATGCCAACATGTGAAATTTGCGTCTCCTAGCAAGCAAAATTATCTCTGCTACAACAGCAATTTGAGAAATCTACAACAGCAAAATGTAGGCAATGCCAAAACAATTGCAGGGGTCCTTTAAAATGTAGGCAATGCCGAAAAATTGACTCGAAATCTCCAGAACAGCGGCCAAACAAGCAGATAGCAACAACATAAGTTATGAATTTCAGAGTGAAGTTCTCTCCAACACCAAGGTTTCAAACTATCAATTAATTTGAAGCAACTAAATCAAAACAAAACCTATTAAGATATGCTATCCCCAGTAACTTAGTGATCTCCAGGCATGCTCTTAATGATATCAGAGTCACCTGAAAAAGAAAACAATATTACCATGATCAGATCCGGTATATAGATAAGAGGAATATGTAAATCCAACATGTTTTCAGCACATTAACATTTACCAGGATCAATAATGCTAAGGCAGCACACTCTGAAATATTTGCCACACGCAGTGCCCAAATCTACGTTGTCTGCAAAAGCAGAACACCCGCGTTTTTAACGGAATAATCGTCAAAAACAACAAAGCCATCATATGTCGAAACAAACCAGCACCAGAATTTACACATGAAAACTAAAATAACAGTTGGTTCTCATCAAGAAACAACATTAAATAAAAACAAAGACCGAGTCCCCAACACCAACGAAACAAAAGAATCAAGGGGGTGGAATCAACTAATCATGGGCTTTGAGTGACAAACAGATATGGTTCCTTCTACCATTTCCATAAGCAGCACTAGAAAAAATCTTATTGAAACTAAATAATCAAAAGGGAAAGGGAGGTGAACGAACATGAACAAATCTAACCATAATATGTGAACTGAGCACAAAATGGATATCAATTATCTTGATATGAAAAACAATCAAAATTACTAAGTAATTAACAAGAGTGCAATAGGTTAAGGGACATACTTCCGTTGTAATGGTGAACTCCAACCTTGCACAACATAGCATAATACTCGATCTCCGACTTCCTAAGAGGAGGGCAGTTGTTGGCAATGATAATCAACTTACCTACAAAGCATAAAAGAAAAATAAGAATAAATTTCTTCCAGAAGCTGAATCATAAACAGAAAATTCAAATTTCAAACAAAATCTACAATGCCATTGTTCAAGTTAAACACTGTTTTTAGCCAAAATGAGATCACTCACTTTTAGTTAACCATCCAAAACAAGAAAATAACCCCATCATTTTTCATATAACAAAAGAACTAAAAGTGCGAGATATTCAAATAAACAATCATATAGCTCAACATTTCAGAAATGGCAGAAAAATAAATAAATACCTTTGGAGCTTCTAAGGGATTTGAGGACAGTTTTGTAACCCAAAGTGTATTTCCCACTCTTCATAACGAGAGCCAATCTGTTGTTAATGCTCTCATGGGTCTTCTTCTGCACCATCAACGATATAAAATTCAGTTAACAACATGGTTTCAGAAAATTCAGAAGAAAAAAGAGAGGAAAAAGTGTAGGGATTTTACGGTCTTCTTGGAGGCAACCATTGTCGACGCACGATGGGAGGTCTTCGACGAGAAGGGGGCAGTGACAGCGGCAGCAACAGATGGCTCAGTTTCACCATACGCAATAAGAAGCCCTAAAATCTCACTAATATATAATTGTGTTTTGGGCTAAACGTGATAGTCTGTTTCTTCGATCCAACCCAAAATAAAATAAAAATACATGACGTAGATATTATTGTATTTGTAAAAATATATAAAGAATTTTAATAATATAAAAATTAATTTTAGTAATTGATCATTAAATTTTAGTTAAACATTAATACTTAATGGAGCTTGAAGGCGTACTCTCTTTGATGTTGGTAAAATGTTTCTTCTTATTGTTAAGACCTTTTGAACTTATTTTTATATCTTCTCTATAATTATTTGTCGTTAGGAGCCGTTGAGGATGTAATAGAGTCGTTACCTACAAAGACACAAAATATTTATGTATAAAATAATATTTTATCTAATATTCAACGGTTAAAGTAGTATTGCATCTAAAGTTTAGAAGTCAAAGTAAAACTTAATTATTTTTATTAACATGTATCAAACTAATAAGAGATAATGACTTAGTGATCAAAATATAATAATCGATAACATAAGTGATCAAAAATAATAAATCAGTAATATAAGTGATCAAAATGTGATAATTTTCAGTTTGTTGAATAAAAGCATAGAAATATGAAAGTAAGTGATCAATCTGATAGTTTACCCTAACTATACCAATGATCATTTAACTATTGTCTCCTTTCACTTTAACCATCGATATTTCAATTTTGTCAATCAGACCATCTAAATATTAAATTGTATCTAATCAAGTCACTTATTGTTAACATTTAACGGAAGTACTAACGTGGTAGTCAATAAAATTATTATAATTATACATTTAGTCTTCAATACTTATACATTATATCAATTTGATCATAATTTAAATTTAATTCAATAAATTAATCATTCAATCATGACACATGATCATGTGTTACTAACAACACATGTCATGATCATGTGTTACCACGTTTCACATCCTGATTGAAGGGTTAATACATTAAATTAAATTTAAATTAGGACCAAATTGATAAAATATATAAGTATTGATAATTAAATATATAATTATATCAATTTTGTTAACTACTACGTCAATACTTCAGTTAAATTTTAACAAGTAGTTTGATTAGATACAATTAAATAATTAAATGATTTGATTGATAAAATTAAAATATCGATAATTAAAGTGAAAGAGACAATAATTAAGTGTTGATTGGTATAGTTCAGAGAATACCCTTTTAAATAACCATTTGCACCTTAAAAGAACCGTGTAGGATGGTGCGAAAAGATAGCTATCGGATCGAAAATAACGGGCTTGTTTGTTCTCTTTGTAAATTTGAAATGTTTAAACAAGCCAGAGTGTAGGGGTTCTTACTTTCTCAGCGGGAAAAAGTAAAAAAGAAGAAAATATTTTTACTCCCAAACCTTCAGAGATTCATTTTTTCCCCTAAAAAAGTTAAACTTTCCTCTCCTTTCCAACCCACAATTTTGTCCTTCAATGGTCTCGAGATTTGCATTTTCAGGTACTGCTAACTGTTTTCACTTTCCTTTTAAGTTATCCATGAAAAATTCATGAATTCGATCAACTTCTGCTTTTCTTCAACGTGGTTTTTTGTCTTTCCAGATGATTCTGAGTGATGTGTTTTCTTTAGTTTTGCCTCTATGTTTAATCTAGGGAGTATCGGTTTTCAGCATTTGATTGGCTTCGTTGCTGCTATTTATACGTGAAGAATACATTAAAAAAACCAATTCTTTGTTCTCTTGCATTTCATATGAACGTTTGTCTTCCTTTGTATGCGTAGTTACGCGCAGAACAATTTTTGAACGATATCTTTTGGGCCTTTAAACTATTTGAAAGATGAGTTTATACCTTTTTGTTGATTAGCTAGCTGTTACTCATTACGAGTTTCAGTTTAGTATTTTGCATTAATTGTTTATTTTTTGGATTTGTGTTGTGTTTGCTTGTGGGAGCGCTGGCTTTTGATGCTGAATTGCTTCTTATTTTCTAATTCTGACAGAAAAGGGATGAAGATTGTTTAAAAAAAGATTAGAACATGCTAGGTGCCAAGACATAATTTGCTCACGAAGTAAAGCACTTTGATTTTTATAATATTAAATGCTGGATTAGTATGGATGTCCATGTGATTCATTCAGAAGAGGGCTTGAGCCATCGTGGAATGTCGGATGACGGAGATGCTGATCCCACTGAAGGTGGAGAAGCAAATCATCTCGAGAATTCCTTAGCTCAAGAAGAAGATGGGATTTCTGAGCCATATGTGGGTATGGAATTTAATTCCGAAGATGCTGCTGGAGCTTACTATGATGAATATGCCAGACGTATGGGATTTAGCTCCAAAGCCGGTCATTTTTCTTCACAGTATAAAACTGATGGGACAATAGTTGCCAGGGAATTTGTTTGTGACAGAGAGAGTTTGAAAAGGAGACTGAAAGCTGCAATGCCATGCTTAGGATAGAGTTTGAAAGCTGCAATGCCATTCAGTGATGAGTCCTGGCAAAGTGCATTACCTTCGTCCCCGCAGGCACTTTGCCGGTGCTGCAAAGACCACGGTTGATAGTTTCCAAGGAATTGGAGTTGGAGTTGTACCAAGTGGTGTGATGTATGTTTCAATGGATGGAAACCGTCTCTCCACGGATGCAAACAATCATGACGTCAGTAGAACTCCAGCAGAAGCAAATCGCTCAGGTAAGAACATTGGGACTCCAAGTTATGCACTTAGGCTGGTTAACAGAAAGAGAACACTGGGGAGGGATGCTCAAAATCTACTAGATTATTTCAAGAAAATGCAGGCTGAGAACCCTCGTTTTTATGCAATACAGCTGGATGATGATAATTGCAGGGTTAATGTGTTTTGGGCTGATGCAAGGTCAAGGACAGCCTTCATGCATTTCGGTGATGCTGTGAAACTGGACACTAGTTACAGAGTAAATCAGTATAGGGTGCCATTTGCTCCATTTACAGGGTTGAATCATCATGGTCAGACAATCTTGTTTGGTTGTGCATTAATATTTGATGACTCTGAAGCTTCTTTTGTTTGGCTTCTCAAGACATTTCTTACAGCGATGAACAATCATCAATCTGTCTCTTTAGTCACTGATCAAGACAGAACCATACAGACAGCAGTGTCTCAGGTGTTTCCAGGTGTTCGGCTCTGTATTAATAAGCGGAGTGTTTTAAGAGAAGGTTCAGAGAAGTTGGCACATATTTTTCATGTGCATCCTAATTTTCAGGTGGAACTGTATAATTGCATAAATTTGACTGAAACTATTGAGGAGTTTGAATTATCTTGGAGTTTGATTATTGAAAAGTATAATCTTGGGGCACATGATTGGCTTCATTCATTATATAATGCCAGAGCTCAGTGGGTGCCTGTATATTTTCGGGATTCCTTTTTTGCGGCAATAACTCCCAATCATGGATTTGATCACTCATTTTTTGATGGATATGTGAATCAACATACCATATTACCTATGTTCTTAAGTATGAACTAGCACTAGAGAACTGGTTTGAAAAGGAGATAGAAGCTGATTTTAACACAATATGCACCACACCAGTCCCTCAGACACCGTCACCTATGGAGAAGCAGGCTGCAGATCTGTATACAAGGAAAATTTTCACAAAATTTCAAGAAGAACTAGTTGAAACTTTTGTTTACACTGCTAATAGAATTGAAGGTGATGGAGCTATCAGCACATTCAGAGTTGCAAAGTATGAGGATGAAAATAAAGTGTACATAGTTACATTAAACTACCCTGAAATAAGAGCTAATTGTAGTTGTCAGATGTTTGAGTATGCTGGCGTACTTTGTAGACATGTTTTAACGGTCTTCACCGTTACAAATGTACTTACATTACCACCACATTACATCCTGAAACGATGGACACAAAATGCAAAGCCTGGGGTTGGAACAGATGAACGTGGTGCTGACTTGCACGGTCAAGATTTGTTGACATCACGGTATAATAATTTATGTTGAGAAGCAATCAAATATGCAGAAGACGGGGCTATAGTACCTGAGACTTATAATATTGCAATGGGTGCTCTTAAGGAAGGTGGGAAGAAGGTTTCCGTTGCAAAGAAAAATGTTGCAAAACTTGCACCTCCTGACTCACTGGCCAGTGGAGTTGCCTGTGATGTGAAGAAGAGCTCAACATCAGCTCCAGATGCAGCCCCTTTGCTATGGCCACAGCAAGATGAAATTATGCGGCATTTCAATCTCGATGACACTGATACTCCAGCTCAATCTGTCTCTGATTTGAATCTGCCATGCATGGCACCTGTTTCCCTTCATCGAGATGATAGTAATCCTGATAACATGGTACAATAAGTAATTCTTTATTTTTTAAAATTCATTTCATTCATCCTTTGCTTTTGAATTGAAGAACAGGATACTGACTTGATACATATTTATGGGTTTCTTCAATGCAGCCAATTCTTCCTTGTTTGAAGTCAATGACTTGGGTAATGGAAAACAAAAATTCAACCCTTGGAAGTAGGTTGGCAGTCATTAATTTAAAGGTATACGTGTGGTAAAACTTTAACAGCCCGTGACTGCGTAAAATCCCAAGTCGCAGCGTAGTCGCATTAAACGTTAATATAACCTCAGAATTAATTGCTGAAGTACATGGAACTCTTTAAAACTGTTAAGCTTATGTATGCAATTATGAGGTCCATGGCTATATAATTCATTACTGTTTATTTTTTACTTATGTCGAGCCTTTTTCTTACTCGTATCTGATATATATAATCGATACAGTTGCAAGATTATAGCAAGAGTCCATCAGCTGAAATGGAGGTTAAATTTCAGCTTTCAAGCGTTACTTTAGAACCCATGTTGAGGTCCATGGCATATATTAGTGAACAGCTTTCTACCTCCGCTAACAGAGTTGCTGTAATCAATTTGAAGGTGTGTAAATCCATAATCAAGCCATAATGGTCAGATATTTGAGCAAATTAAATCTAATGATATTTTTATTTTTAAGTATTTTAGAACTTGCTGACAATTTGC